TCTCATGTAAAGGTCTTTCACTTTCTGGCTAGGAAGATGCTGAGGTATTTCATTTTTTTGGTGGCTATTGTGAATGGGATTGTGCTTTTTATTTGGGTCTCTGCCTGCTTGTTGTTGTTATATAGGAATGCAACTGACTTTTGTACGTTTATTTTGTACCCTGAGATATTGCCAAAGTCTTTTATCAGTGTCAGCAGGTTTTTGACAGATTCTCTTGGATTTTTAAGGTATAGGATCATATCATCAGCAAAGAGGGATAACTTGACTTTCTCTTTTCCTATTTGGATAACCCTGATTTCCTTCTCTTGTCTAATTTCCTGGGCTAGGACTTCCAACACAATATTGAACAAGAGGGGTGAGAGTGGACAGCCTTGTCTTGTTCCAGTTTTCAGGTGAAATGTTTCTAGTTTCTGTCCATTTAGCAATATGTTAGCTGAGTGTTTGTCATAGATGGCACTTACTATTTTTAGGTATGTTCCTTCTATGCCTAGGTGTTTGAGGGTTTTTATCAAAAAAGGATACTGAATTTTATCAAAAGCTTTTTCTGCATCTAATGAGATAATCACGTGGTTCTTGTTTTACATCTGTTGATGTATTTAATTACATTTATGGTCTTGTGAATGTTGAACCAGCCCTGCATCTGGGGAATGAAGCCTATTTGTTCATGGTGGATGATTTTGAGATGTGCTTTTTGATCTGATTTGCTAGAATTTTGTTGAGGATTTTTGCATCTATGTTCATAAGGGATATTGGCCTGTAGTTCTCTTTCTTTGTTGCATCTTTACCGGGTTTGGGTATCAGTGTAATGTTAGCTTTGTAAAATGATTTGGGGAGAATTTCATCTTTCTTGATTGCCTGAAATACTTTCAATAGGATTGGTATCAGCTCTTCCTTGTATGTTTTGTAGAATTCTGCTGGAAATCCATCAGGCCCAGGGCTTTTTTTTTTTTTGTAGGTAGTTTTCATATGACAGAGTCAATTTCCTGGGTTGTTATTGGTCTATTCAGTGTCTCGAGGTCTTCTTGTTTCAACTTGGGTAGATTGTGTGTTGTCAGAAAGTCTTCCATTTCATCTAGGTTATCAAGTTTATTTCCATATAGGTGTACATAGTAATTTCTGATAATCTTTTATATTTCTTCAGAGTCAGTTATGTTTTGATCTTTTATATTTCTGATTGTGTTTATTTGGGCTTTTTCTCTCTTTTTCTTGGTCAATCTGACTAGGGACCCATCAATCTGTTAATTCTTTCAAAGAACCAGCTTTTTGTTTTGTTGATATTTTCTATGATATTTTTTGTCTATTTGCTCTCTTATTTTTGTGAATTGGATTCTTCTGCTAAAGTTGGGGTTTTGGTGGTCTTCTCTTTCCATCTTCTTTAGGTGGTTTGTTAGGCTCTCCACTTGTGATCTTTCCATTTTCTTGATGTGTGCTCATAGAGATATAAATTCTCCTCTTAAAACTGATTTCATGGCATCCCAGAAGTTTTGGTAAGATGTTTCTTCATTTTCATTTGTTTCCAAGAATCTTTCAATTTCTTCTTTGATTTCAGTGTTGACCTAGTCATTGTTCAGCATCATGTTGTTTAGTGACCATGTCTTTGTAGGTTTTGGGGAAATTTTGTTGGTGTTGATATTTATTTTTATTCCACTGTGGTCTGAAAAGGTGCATGGCAAGATTTCAATCTTATGAAATTTGTTTATGTTTGATTTATGACCAATGATGTCAATGTTGGAGTACGTTCCATGCGGTGGTGAGTAGAAAGTATATTCTGTGGTCCTTGG